ACGATTTTTGGTGTTACGATATACAAAAAAATTTTATTGCGCATTTATAGAGGTAGATATATAATTTTTTTATGGTATACAAATGTATATCAGAGCGATTTTAATCATTATATAATTATAAATCAAATTCACTTTAAAGTAAAGACAAATTAGCTTTCAAATTATAATTTTATTAATCAAAACTTTTATGTTACTTCGTACAAATCCGAAATAATTTGAATTAAAACCTATAACCCGAAATATATAACTATTTAATTCAAATAAAAAACACTAAAAATAACCTTCAGTGAAAATAATCCTATCAAAAAAAACTAAAAATTACTCAAAGTTAAATATTATTTCAAAGTATTGCGAAAAATCAGTTTTAACAATGGTGAATGAAATGTTATTAAAATGATTTATTTTAAAGCAAAGTATATATGTTTCAAAATTCCAAGTAAACATCCTGTTCAAGCATATATGTTATTTTATTTTAAAATAAATTTAGCAGAACTCGAAGAGTTTTAAATTTGTAAGCTTTCGGAAAAATTTAAAAAAGAAAAGACTTTTAAATTCCTTATTTGAATTTGCATGCTTTTGAAAAGGCAAACAAAAATTTAAACAACGTTTCAGTTTCCATGCACTTTAAAAATCTTTATCGGATATTTAATAAACTTGAAGTGTTTTTAAACCGCTTACGTATTGGCCACACACGAATAACCCACAAACACCTTTTTCTAAAGGAACCAGAGTGTTCCAATTATAAAGTACCTTTAACTGTTTTACATATTTAAACCCAGTGCACCAAATTTAAAAATCAGAGACTACGTCATTTCGGTAGCTTCTATCCATCATTATTTTTATTAATTGTAGATAATCCTCACTGTAACATTTTCTCATACTTTAAGGGCATTGGCCTTCATACATCTATCCAGTTTTTAAATCAGAACAGAATTGTTAACCTAGTTGTATAATATCTAGTACCCAGTTGGAGGGGCGATAAAGTCAAAACCAGTACTTGCCAACTGGCACTCAAATTAGCAGCAGACATATAAACCGCAGAATGAACAATAAAAATACTTTTAGAGTTGTTCGAAACTTTAACTGACTATTTCAATGCTTGTTTCAATAATTTGTATTTAAAGTTTTCTTCGCTGATCTGTGATTTTGAATGTAAATTTTAATTATTAAAAAAGTTATAAAGGGCATTGAAGCAGATCTCTCAACCTCAGAAATTGAAAAAGTCAGAGATTCTTTGTGACCACAGTGTAATGTAATAAGCAAAACAACAATAAATATAAAAAAAATTAACATAAAAAATAAACGTAAAAAATACACACTTTCCTTAAAACATATTCACATAAGTACTTAGTGAAATCACCAGTATATGCTTTGTTAGAATGCATAACGTTATACTTTTTTTAGTTTGTCAGGTATTTCAATATATATATATACATATATATATAGTTAAGTTTGTAAAAATTCATTTAATTCAGTGCAAAAAAAAAAAAAATAGTTAGAGCACAATATCCTACTTTTCAAAATAGCAATAATAGACAAATTTTAGATATAAGTCAAAACTTGTTCTTTTTAAACATACATTTTGTATCGGACATTCCCGTCCGCTATATTTGCAGGAATAGGTTGTTTTATAAATCTCGAGTTTTTAATCAACATAAATTTAAACTTATTAATTACAATTTTCATCAAACTTGCAAAATTAATGTTTATCATTAAAATGTCGTATTTATTTTATTTTTCAATGTAACTCATATCCAAAAACCTATTCATATTTTGAAAAAGGAAAAATATAGGTTTTTAATGAAGTAAAGCATTCCCAGAACAGCCCGTTGTGGGTCAGGGGGTCATGGAGGTTGAGCTCTACAATTTCGTGACCAACGGTATGATTATGGCAAAGTGTCAGTACTGCGCACAGTCCGCTTTTACTTCGCAGAACAAGCTAGTGTTCATCGACCTGAAGCTGAGTGGACTTCAAGCCGTCACTGGGGATCGAACCCAAGTTGATCAAGTTGTTGACAGTTGAGCATCTTAACCATTGAGCCATTGCGGGTCTAGTTGTTAAATAGTTACTGTTAAATTACTCAAAATTTAGATTTTTAAAAATAAAGCCAAATAAGGCAACAAAAAAATCTATAAGTATGATAATGACGTATGTCGAAAGAAATAGTTATAGTCAGTAAATATTTTAAGCTAGTTAAGATTTTTTAAAAAAATTTTGAAGCTAAATAAGATTAAGAAACTATAAGTTTAATAATGACGTACGTTGAAAGAAACAGTCAGAAATTTTCTTAAACTCGTTAAGATCGAAAAATTCCTTCTCCTGTTTTAATTTCAACAGGAAATCTACACTAATTACAAAAAGTGTAGATGAATGTAGAGTAAAGACTCTGGATATGTATTCTGGTTTGTTTATCATCACTTATACTTTTAAATATACAATTTGAGTTCACTGTGTTGCGTAGATATGATTAATCATTTACAAGCATAAGAGGTTTCAACTGAAATTGCTGCACATAACTTAACAGGAGAATTATCAAAATAAATATTAAAAAAAACTTTTGTTACGCAATCCATTTTAATTACAAGTAATTCTAATTTTTTTTTACGAAAATTGTTCTCGATGTCATTAGAAGGAAATTAGTAATTAGTAAAGCTATCAAATAAAAATTGAATGATGTTAACAAAATGTTACTTTTTCAGATTTGCACGGATAATTAATGCATTTACACAATTTTCAAAATTTAATAATTAATTAAAAATGCAGTTTCAATAAAGATTTGAATTGATTTAAGTAATATTATTATAAAAAAAGAGAGATAAAAAAGGGCACTTAATTTAATATTTTTTTTTTAAATTACATAAATATATATTTTTTTATATTATTCACTAGCATGAACCGTGATAGATATATCCTTCCTTAAGATCAAATTTATGTTTTTAAAATAGTAAAATCAAAGTACTACTAAATAATCCACCTCTGCGAGTCGCAGTTCAGGAAAAACAACAAAACCATGCTACAAAATTAATGACAATAGAGTCATATGCCATTTAAACTTGAATATTAAACACCTTAAATATCAAACCATATTTATTTTAAATTCAAAAAAAAAATTTGAAAATTGAAAAAAAAACAGCACAAATAAATGTATATATGTATATATATATATATATATATAGTAAATTGTTAGTTTGTGTTTAAATTTATGATGATGAATAACGTAAAATCAAACAACAACTTTGCATTTCTGTGAGTAAAGCAGGGAAACCAACATTTCCCTATACGAAAACAATGTTTATCAGCGTAATACGTCATTTAAATTGTTTTGCGTCCTTAATCAGAACTTCTTTTCAAAAATTCAAAATAACTTCTTAAATAACATATAAATAACGCACTAAAAAAATAGTAATAAATATTATGTTATCACTATCTACATTATTATTAAATTATTAATTTGATAAAAAGATTTATTTTAGATGCAAAAAATATGCTCAAAATTTCAATTAAATTACTTTGAGATAAGGGATTTGATTTATTTTTATAATTGTTTGGCAAATGCCTCACTAATGGTAAAACATATATGATTTGTTTACGATGATCGAATGTAAATTTCTTTGGGGACGAGCCAAAAAACATAAGACGTTTGCACAGTTGCATCTTTTTCAAATAAATACTAAACAGAACTAAAATAATGATTTAAATACTTATTAAAATTAAAAATTTTGAAAAAACAAAAACTCTAAACATTGAAGTATTAAAATTATTTTATTTTAACTTCTTAAAAATTTTATTTTTGATTTTAAGGAAAAATTAAAAATAAGATTCTTCTATTGTTTAAATACAATTGTTGTTGTAAAAAAAATTAAATGAACTTCTTTTGGATATTTATTATAGTGAGATATATGATGAAATAAGTTTTCCCCAAATCTAACGTATGTATATTAAAATAGAAATGCGAAAACGTAGCTGCTACTCGTACATTTTACAAATATGACAGAAATTACCTCTGATTTCAGTTATATGGATGCAAATCTCGCCAGACAAAGTACAATTACAATCATGCATTTCTGTAAGTGGTGCAGTAAAAACAACATGCAGGGTATAAAATTAAAAGCGAGTCATTTAAATAGTAATACTTCTAAAACCGTATTTTATCTTTAAAAGTTAAAAATTGTTTTAAAATTAATAAAATATTAGTAAGTTTTAAGTTTAAGGTAATAATAAAATAATATAATGGTAATTTTAAAATCGGAAAACATTTAACAAAAGATTTATAAATATTTAGAATGAAATACAAAATATTATTTACTGTACTTAATTCATATATTTTACTCATAAATTATTTCGGTAGTAATTTCAAACTTTATAAAATTTATATTTGGAAGCAAACATATTTTGTAATTTAATTATTTTTAACAAAACTATTGTTTATAAAAAAGTATTTTGCATCGTTAATTTTAAAAAATTAACTCTTTCAAAACTAACAAATGTCCTCTTTAATTCACCAAATTCAACATTTTTTAAAGAGTATGAAAGTAGAATTAAAATAATAAAAAAATTATGCATCCATTTCATGTAATAAAAAAGATTCTAAAATTGTAAATTAAATTGTTATTACTTTTCCCAAAACGTAATTCAGGAAAATAAATAAAGTAATTATCGTTTTCAAAGTTCTTAATATTATTTTTAAAGACACATTAAATTAAAAATAAGAACATAAAGTTTTTATAATCCTCAAACGAGAAGTGAATTTATGTAATACAACTATATTTTTTAACGTAAACATTTTTCAAGGTAATTTAAATAATGGAAAATAAATTTAAATTCAAAGCGTCATTGAAATTAAATATAATTAAAATGTCAAAACAACTACTAAAATTAAAAAGAAAAATTTTAGTATCGTAATTAAATGAATTTAATTTAATTACTTATCAACATATATTAAAGTGAACTGGAATGTCAAAATGTAAACAAATCTAAAAAAAAAAAAAAAAAAGCTTACTCGAAATAATAACATGTCCATAGAGTACATCATCAACTTCCCCATATAGTTTATCACATAATTCCTGAGATAAAGTTTTAAAATTAATGTCAATGACTAGACATCGTATTTGAGTTTTCCTGAAACTCCATGAATGAGCATCTTATGAAATAGGAAAAAGAAACAAGAGCACTTGAGAGACATTTTCTTTGAGAGAATTTAAGAGAGAGATAAAAATATAGTCTCTTTCCAGCAACCAAACCTACCGACCATCAAGTATATCACTAATCGATACGATTGGCAAAAGGAAAAATCGCCAGCATTTAAAAACACCCGCTCACCATCTTTTTTCCTCGAAGATGGAAAACCATAACTTTCATTCTTACTCTCATCTTAAAACAATTTGATGAAAACTGGGCGGTCAAAATAAGTTGAATTAGCGATTCGTGGAGCCAAAAAGTCGCGCCGCCCAATCAAATCTTTTAAAATTTCACCACGCAATTTTTGAAAAATTTTCCACGAGCCGCTATTCGATGGAAGTTGCTTCAGAGTCATGGCAAAGGCGTTCTGGTCACAACGCATCAATACAAACGCACAGGAGAAAGAGCGCTCTTGTTCGCTCCTTTTTTTTCCCAGCGTCTCCCTTTTTCCTGAAGAGATCTAAGATGCGGGAGTATCGCTATGACGTAATCGTTACGCGTGAATAAGCGCATCTTGCTTGGTGAGCGGGCGCTTCGCAATTCAAAATCCCAATTTTAAAATTTTGACACTCAAAAATCGGATTTAACTAGTAAGAAATATAAAATGATTTAAGAGCAACTTACACGACACCCTCTCAGCAGGAACCTTCCAGCAGCCATATTGGATAGCGAGCACTTACCCACAATCCTCTTCGAGAGAATAAAACAAAAAAGATGGCGGCATGTACACAAATGTCATCAGCGTGTGTCATTTAACCGATTTTGAGTTGATTTGTTGTTTATAATTTATTGAAACAGTTTCTTTTATGTTCAGCGATTGCTATTAGTGTTTTAAAATCATCTTAAAGGCTTTTTTTGTAGCTTTGAGTAAAGGTAAGTGCTAATAGTAAACACAATATGATCAACAATAAATATTTCACAAAATTATTGATTTTTCTTCTTAAATATTTATAAAATTTCTATTTATCTAATGTGATTGAGTGAAGCTGGCTTATTGAAATGATTGTTATGATACATCATTTTAGTTTTTTGTAGTGGTTGAAGTAAGTTATTAATAAATTTACTGAATCTTAGATTTCCTAACAATTTTACCGGCGTTATGGCTTATATATATTATTACTGAATTATATCATAAAACAAACATACATATGATCTTGAGGTTGATTTGAAATTACTTGAATACTAATTGTCGTTTCATATTGAAAGCATTTAAATCTTTATTTACTATGACAGGAAGATGTGATTGAGTAGAGATGTGTAGTGTATTTATATATCATTTTAAAATTAATTACAAAAAAGGATTGAGCTACGCACTAAAATCAAATTTAATGAAAAGTTCTGTTCATTTAAGTGATTTTGAACTTGCCAACTGTTTGAATAAAATCATTATGTAAACAAATTAATAAATCATAGTTTAAGTACATTTTTATGACTGTAATAGAATTAAAAAAAACACAGACATGTGAATGCTGAAAAATATGTAATTGATTTAATTTGTACATAATTACAATTTTGCTGGCTCTCCTAGTTGGCATTAGGTACTGTTGATATAAATATAAAATAAATGACAATGTTAAAATGACAAGTGGTACTGATCATTATGACATATTTCGTAATGATGTGTGCTGTTATAATTTATTAAAAGTATGGGGAATCCTATAAATTGTACTTATTTCGATCAGTTTGTTTTTAAATAAACTCTATAAGAGAATTTTTGTATCGGTTCATGTACCAAAATATTCGTTAAGTTTTATAAATAAAAGTTACTGTTTATATAAATAAAAAAGATCTGAAAATTTGCAATACTAATTATTGTGACACACTTCGTAATGATCTATGCTTTTATAATTTGTAAAAAACTTGGGAATATAAATTGCAACTATTTTGAACAGTTGGCTCTTAAATACATTTCATAAGAAGATTTTCGTATCGATTTATAGAAGATTTTGTATCGAAATAGTTTTGCCAACTTCTGGGCAGTGGCCTGCGCTAAACTAAAAAAAAACATCGCAGAAAGGGACCATCTCGAAAGGTATAACTACCCCTGGGCAAACATCTACATGTTTGTTTGTTTTTTAAATTTGCAGGTTTAAAGTCTATTTGGCACCTTGGCGATTGTAGTTGGCCCGGCAGATCACTATACGGAAATATCTCCCCTTTCAAGTTGGTACTTTTCTGNTTTTTTTTTTTTTTTTTTTTTTTTTTTTTTTTTTAATTTTCGCAGGCTGCTGCCGGAAGTTGCCAAGACTTGAAGATTATTTTGCCAAAAAATCAGGATACAGAAATCTCTGTATTCTTTTTCTTCTCGTTAAATTTAAATTTGTTTGTTAGTATGGAATCATTAATGTGGGTAATCTCAATAATGGCAATTAGTTACATTAAGTATACCTTATACATATTAATGCAAAGAATTATCCATTAAATATTGTGCAATTAATGAAAAAAATTGATATAGCATGTAAGTGTTATATCTGTTTTGTCGAACTTGAATTTCAATAATTTCTTTTTTGTTGTTTTTAAATGTTGTTTGATTCTTCATCTATTTTTCAATCAAATTATTTGCATTATTCTGATATCAACATAAAGCACTAATTTTTTCATTTGTATCAAGCTATTCGTCGATGAATTATTCATATATTGTTTACACTTTTCCACGAGTTAGTTATACTTTTCGAAAAGTTTGTTAGATTATCAACAAACATTGCTATGTAAACAAACATTTCATTCTTTATTGAATTTTATTTGCTTGCTGAATTTTATTTGCTTATGTTATAACATGAAATATTTTTGTCTATGTTGTTGTCTTGAACTCTTAATATTTTTTAGTCGGTTAACAATGTTTGATTGATCCTATTGTTTACTTTTCTCATAGAATTATTATATTTTATAATGTTCTCTATTTTGTAAACAAACATTTACTTTTTTGCTTTTTCAATGTTTTCATATTCACGAACCCTCTACGCTTTTGCACTTGTGCTGTGTCTTCGTTGTTTTTATAGGGATGAGATTAAGATAATGGGTTTAATAACTTTTTTTTTAGGATGGATGTGCACTTTAGAACTTCAGACAGTGCATAGCTCAGATTATCATCTCTTTTTGAAGTAGAAATGTCCCAAAGTGGAATATCTTGCATTAGTTAAACAGCGCACTAGTTTTATCTCAAAATCAGTAGATAACAAAATTTATTTATTGAGCTGTTTGTATGTAATCATTAGTATCTGATAAAAATGATTATGTTAGATCATTTTATTCAAAGTAACTAAAATAGTAGTCACCGCGACTGATGATAAAAGTTTATACGACTTGTTGGTCGTGAGCTTCGATACTTTTTAGCAGCAACTACTGTTCTCGCTTTCGTATTGTTTACATTTTTTATAAGTTTCTGTCTTTTTCTTCTTAAGAATAATGTTTTCTTTCTTATTGAGCCTAACTTGCTTTTTTGAGTTTTTCATTAAGTACAGAATCAATATTTTAAGGCTGACTTGTTTTAAGCTATTTGTGTATTATCTCATCGTTGATAACATAATGATTGTGTTATACATAGAGTTTAACTCCAAACAATTAGAATTATGTTTACTAGCTACTTATGATTAATGATATTGATATGATAGCTTGGAATTTTATCTTCTGTTCTTGAGTTTGAGTTTCAATGATTTGTGGATAGCTAATGCTTCTTCTTATTCTATATGGTGTTTCTCTGTATTATTGGCAGATGGCAGCACAGTATGTGGTGTACATGGATGGGTGACTGAATGTAAACAATAACAATCTTCCTAAAACCAGTAGAAATGTAGAAAACTTCCGGTGTACCCCTTCATTTACGATGCGGTGTGGGAACAAACTTGATATTCTTTTATGTGTGGTTAAACTTACGTATAATTTTACTATTTGTAAAAGTTTTCTGTAATTTAAAAATTCTAAAAGGTAATGGGCCTTAAATAGATTTAAGAAAACTATTACAGCATAAATAAGGCGTAAGGTTTGTCATGTTTGAGTATTATCCCCTAATTGGCTGTATTTGTGTGAAATATTGCCGTTTGTTATTTTTTGGGTAGCACCATAACATGCTTCTAGAGTTGTGCTAATAAATTTGTTTTATGCTAAAATTAAATGGCTTATGCTAAAGTAAAAATGAAAGAACATGTTATATTGTAAATACCACAGTATATTAATATTGGCTTGAGCGCTTTACCAAGCTTAGTGAAAATAAATCAGAACTAGAAACACGGAGGTTTTACGATAAATATTAACCGCTAGCACCACCTATACTTAGCTTTACGCTGTCAACCATTCGTAACTTATCATCTAAAGAACTAAAATAAGTGATTAAAAGTATTTAAATATAATTATACTGCCTCAATTCTATTGTTGCATCTCATTATAAATTAAGTCTTATGAAAAGAAAAAAAAAACCCAGAAAGTTAGTCATGCAAACATGTTTACACATGCTAAACATAAGTCTTTTATTAAAAAATCTGCATGATGTGATTAATTTGCATTGAGTAGCTTGCATGTTATCTCATATTTGATATTTTATAAAAATAATTTTGCGTAACTACTTTATTCCGAGTAATCGAAATCATGCTAATAATCTAGCTACTGATGATTAATGAAACTAAGATATCAGTGTGTAATTTTTTTGTCGTTAAGTTTGAGCTCAATAATTTTCTGTTAACAAATGCTGTTTATTGTTTCTATTTACATTTTTGGTAAGTTAGTTACATTTTAGAAAGATGTTGTTGTGTTTTGTAAATATTTTCTAATTAATTGCGCTTAATTTGCTGACACAAATTTTTTATTATGAAATTAGCTTTATGAAACTTCTTTTTATTGAGAAGTTGGTGCGTTATCTCATCTTTGATATTTGGTAACAATGATTCATGGTAACCAGACTTGACCAATAAGCTACCTCTTGGTGATTGAAGAAACTACAGTATTAGCATGTTTTTTTTTTTGTTTTTTTTGTCATTGTTATTGAGCTCAAATAATTTATTGACAACAAATGCTCTTTTATTTCTGTTGTTGTTTACATTTTGGACAAGAAAATTTAAAAAAAAAAAAAACGTTTTCTTCTTTATTGAGCAAAATTAGCATTGATGATTGTTGCAAAATCAGTGCTATATAGCTCATTTATATTTTAAATAAAGTTAAACAATGTGACAAAAAATAGTATACTATCTATAGTTTCGGTTTGATAAAAAAGAACTTTCCTCAATTTCAAAAAACAAAATGACAGAAAAAAAAACACTTGAGAAATAAGTTGCAATAACTGAGAGAAGGAAACAAAAATTGCAATAAGGAGCATTTTTTCTTATTACAATTTATTTGTCACATATTTTCTTTTGTCATTTTGTATTTCCACGCTGAGGAAGGTTCTCATTAATAAAATTGACACTATACTATATGTCCATTTCTGTTCAAATATTTGTGTTTCATTAACATTGTTTATAATTATTTATACTTGGCCCAAAGTATACCCTTTCTTTTTTTTTGAATTATATTATAAAGTTAACTGAATACTCTTTCTTCATACGAGGCAAAAAAAGGCAAATGTTCACTGAATTGTTATTGTTCAACGCTACAAATATTGGTTATACTCACTTAATAGATTAAGCTAAAGTAGTTTAAATTTTTTAAATGTATTATTGTCTATTCTGTTGACTTTTTTTTTTAACTTTATAACCGTCGCTGAACAGCTGACCCAAATTTGGGTTTACGACCACTAATGTTCAACGCTGTAGACTTGTAATTTTGAACCCAATCCAGAAGACGAAGGAACTCCTGGATCAAGCATTGGGAGAAATTTGCATTCGTGGAGGACTTTTTGATGGAACTTACCTGCATTTTCATTACATAGAGAGGAAAACCACAAAACCCTCCCACGGTTAGCATGATGGGAAGGGGACTCTAACCCATGATCCGTCTACCACTGAGGATATTTTACGTCAGCACTGTGGTAGGTGTGAGCTGGGTGCGGAATTTAAATTAACCTGCCATCGCCGGGATTCAAACCTGGTTTACTGCATTGGAGGGCGAACGCTCTATCCCCTGACTTTGTGTTATTAGATTAAGTAAAATCGACTTTTTGAAATTTATTACATCAAAATCAAGACTGACCATATTCCTCGCATATATGAGTACGCTCATATGATAGTGACATTATCATAATGCCATTACATCGAGGTAAACTCATAATGGTCAAGATTTTCCGCAATCAAAAATTTTTTTTCCTGGTACTTATCCCTTTTGGTAATTTTAATTTGATTTAATTATTCAATACTTTATGTTTAAATGTTTGCAGCTACTGCGATGTAAACAAGTTTGTTTTTCCTGTGATCTTATCTAAGGATAAACAACGGATTATAGATTTCTTGAGTAAGAATTATTTGAGAAAGTAGATGAATAATCGAGGGGAGAGTGTTTGGTATGTGAGATGGCACGTGTTGAAAAGCAACACACTGCCAAGCATTTTAGAGTTACTCAATTATAATACTATGCCTACATATTTTTTGCTAAAACTCCTTTTAAATGGGTTTAACTTTACTAGCGAGCAAAGTGTGGATGGTTCGAACCATATAAGACTGCTTAGCAATCTTGGGAGGGTTGTGGAGCAGAGCTAATTAATCTTATATTAACCAACAAGCCTAGAAATAAAACCATTTATTAGGCTAATAACTGTACACATTACATTAACAGTAACATGAATATTTTACTTCTTGGGTTAATGTTTCTTACTTCATTTTCTACCTCATTTTGTGTAATTCAAACATTTTGACTAAGGGTGAATTTTTATTGTTGAAATTAAATAGGGGTGAAAAAAATTTCTTTAGGAATTATAACCTTGTGAAATATTAGTTTAATCAGTTTAGTTTCAGTAAAATTGATTTATTATTTGATTAAAAAAATCTAAGCATAACAAATAAGTTTTGTTTTAAAGTTTTCACAAATAAGTATAAGGTATAACTAAATATGGCTTTACATTAAATAATGTTTCTTCTGATTGTATCATAACTTGCTGGTGATAGTTTTGTAAAAATGTTATAAATATAATTTGCTTTTAGTGATGTCACTTTATTAATTATTTTTATATTTAAAATTGAAATTCATATAGATATTAATTTTTTCAGGGATCCCATGTGGCAACTGATACTTAGATATTAATGATTGATGCAAGAAAATATTCGGTATCAGCAGCAAATTCATGATAAAATCAGATGAAAGTTGGTGTCATGTAAATGTTTGGAATTCTCTAAGTTTAAACCACCTATTTGAATAAGATTAATTGTAGTAAATAAAATTACAGTAGAAGATCTTTATAATGTAAACTTTAACATAAGGATTTGCATTTTATGGAATTTTGTGTTGTATAGTAACTGTGTAATAACAAACAAATTAATCAATTGTGGTTTGCCAAGCTTTTTAAATTTTTACTGCTTAGCAAGTATTTAAACAAATAATGTAAAAATTGCTTGCTTAGTTAAACTGCAAATTTCATTGTTCACACCTACATAGCTAGTGTGATTTATGGTGAATTGCAGTTTATAGAATTACATTATATATATCTTCTACTCTGTGTGTTATTGCTATATTAAGGTAGTTATAAAGTTTTTATAATACTTATTTCCTAGGTTAATATGTTCTCATTTTATGCATGAGTTGCAGTTACAAATTAGCACTTAGTATAATAAAATTTCGTAAACATAAATGCTTGTGTTTTTTTTTTAGATTTACTGTCTTATTTTTATTAATATACCAATAAATCTTTATTAAAAATTTCAGCTGTTCTGCTTTTAATAATTTATCATCATTTTTAAAAGATACAATCTTTATTGTATTGCTATTATGTCAATATTCAACAGGTTTTTGTGAAATTGCATTTACATGTTTTGTTTGAATCGCAGCATGTGTGAAACCTTTTATAAAGAAATTAAGTTTCTGCTTTTTAAGAACTACAGTTTTCTACACATCTTTATGAAATTGTATAGACATATTTTGTCTTGAAATTTTAGCAAATCTTACTCTTAATTCATTTTACTGAGGTTGTGTGCAAAACTTCAGCTATGGTTAATTTGGTCTCTTCTAAGGAAAAAATTAGTCTTTCACTCTGAAAAATCAAATTTAATTTCAAGGCAGGTGAGGAAGGATATCCTTTTTCTAAAATGTGTTAAATAATATTCATAAGACAGAAGTTTTTTCTTTTTTCAAAATATATTGAATAATTCTAGAAAAATAATATGAATAACTGTTTTTCAATTTTACATATTTTATTTTTTAAAATTTTTTTATAGACTGTGTTGAGTAATATTTATAAAATTTATTTAGTATGAATTGTTAACATAAAGCCAAATACAGGTGTTGTTTGGCGTAAAATATAATTTTGAGTTCTTAGATTATTATTAGGAATATATTATACTTATTTTGTGGCAAAACCTAGAATTTACATTAAAGTTTCGTCCCTTTTAGTGTTAAACTTTTAGTTATAAACATTCTATAAACAATAATTTTTGAGACTCTCTGAACATTTAGAATAATTTTGAGTGGAAGACACAGTAATGTCATAAAAAAAAATAATTCAGTGTTTAAAAAAGTAAATGAAAAAAAATGTGTGTGATTACGTTATAAGATAGCGATTCATTATTTTATTTAATTGCTGCTTCAAATATTCATAGTTCGATTCACATTTCATCTGATTAAATACATAAAACTTGGCTAAATTTTATGACTTGTAATATTGGATGAAAACTTAATTCCTAATATCAATAAATCTTTGTAGAAAATAGGTTCTGTCCACATTTCTTTTCATAAACACATCTGTAGGGAGATATATTGGAAGTTTCCTCAGTCTTTCAGTTTTAGGACATTAGTTATTGCATAAGCTCTGTAAAGCATCCTTTAATGAAACAGTTTTTTAATTTCCTACGGCTTTAATTTTCATAGTAACGTTCATCAGGAACTAATTATACGAAATAATTTAAGTTGATATATTAAGAGCAGATGTAAATGCATATAGTTTATATTGTGGCTGATTTTCAAAATCTTATGAAAGTGAAATATGTATCTAAGGCAACTTCTTGCATATTTTATGACTCGTCATTATATGCATTTTGAAATATTTTGCCGTTTAAATGAAATCTAATATTATATTGCTTAACTCCTCCACATATTTTATTGTTTAAATGAGGTACCTTATTATTGTCTGGTGATTTGAATTTATTATTTATTTAGTAAATAATATGAAAAAAAAATAGAAGTGATATTAAAAATGTTTACAAAACAGAAAAAAAATATATGTTTGAACATATAATATGAATTTGAAATCTCTCTTGCATGTTTATAAAATTGAAAATATAATTTTTAATAAAAAAAATAAAAAAACAGCCTTATAACAATATATATATACTTATATATTTCAACACTTATATATTTCATTTATTTGGCTAGAAGAGAATTTTAATATTATTATTGATTGCTATAGCATCTATTTTCTGTTTGTGAAATTTTTGTAAAAAAGATGAAGAAAGTGATGCTTTGCTAATTCTTAATAGTTTGATTATGTCAGTTTGAAAAGGAGGAAGAAATTTTCTGATTGACATGAAAGGGGGTGAACCATCATAAAATAACTCATCTGATAAATCCTGATATCCAGGATATTTCTCTAAATTTTCCATATTTTTAAATGAATAACCTAAAACAAATTAATCAAAAAAGTTAAACTGAAAAATGCTGCTAGAATTATAATAGATAGTATTTTTTTTTCTGCATTTGTTTTTATATTCAAAGTTTAAATGAATTTCGAAAAAAAAACAAAACAAATGAAGATAAAAATGCAAATAAAAGCTAAAGCAATTTTCATCCTATTATTAAACTCAAAGTTTTATGCAAGCAATAGAAAGTACATTTATTCTTTTTAAATTGGTATTGTTTTACAAAATTCTGATCTAAATCTAATGCTAAAATTCAATTAAAATGCTATAAGTTCCAGTCGAGAGTGTCTTGGTTCTTTGTTAATATAGAAAAGAAAATAAGTTTTTTCAATTGCTTTAACAGCATTTTTAAAATTGTATTACAAAAAACTTTAATTTAAGATATACAAATGTATTGATTTAATGTGATGATTTAATTTAAGATATACAAATGTCAACAGGTCTACCTGACTTATAAATTTCCAATTCTTAGATTATTATTTTTCCTATCTTTAAGAAAGTAACATAATATAAGTTTNCAGCATTTTTAAAATTGTATTACAAAAAACTTTAATTTAAGATATACAAATGTATATATGTCAACAGGTCTACGTGACTTATAAATTTCCAATTCTTAGATTATTATTTTTCCTATCTTTAAGAAAGTAACATAATATAAGTTTTTTTGTTTCTTTTAAAATTAATTACTCTCATTACTTCATTAAAAAATAAGTTTAAAATTTCTATGATCTGTATCATCCACTTCTTCCAAACATTTTGTTTTCACCTAATCCCACAGTAACGCCATCTATTAGATTTATGAAGTACCAATTTCCCTTTCGATGTCATTAATGACATTTGGTCCTGCATTTTATGAGTTTAATTTCTTTTATGTTTGATTAGAATTTCCATAGCCTTATTTTCTAAAATTAAATCAAAAGCTGTTGAGAAACAAGCCTTCACCCTTTGTTATGAAATAATTAAAAAAATTATTTTATTATACATTTCAAAATTTAACTCAAGAATGTATCATAATTTTAACTAAATTAAATGTGCGGTAAATAATAATAAAAAAAATTTTGTCTTTCAGAATTTTTTTTAAAACTAAATTTGAAAACGTTTATTCACATAATTTTATATTTATATAAACGATTAAATTAATATTTTTAGACAATTATTTTTAATGATTAGCTTTTTTTTTCTTTCTTTTTTCTTTTCAATCCTGTGAAAATAACAAACATAAAATAATTAATCTTGGGATTTCTGTTATTAAGCCTATAGTAATAAATAAATCTGTATTAGGAAATATTGAGACCGATAAAAAAATCCAGACGCATTAAGCACAAAACTGTTGGAATCCTTACCATATATAATTTTGAATGGAATAACCTTTTGTTGAGAACAAAATGTTTTTTTAATGATTTATAATATAACGTATGATATTAGGATGCAATTAAAAAATTTAAGCATAAACGTATTTGAATGTTTGTTAATTTGGAAGTCTAGTCGACTACAATTTAAAAAAAAATATATCAAGAATTTGAAACGACGTTAAAAATTTTAAGCTCTTGCCTCGGTGTATGATATTTCAGTTTTGTTTAAATTGACTACCCTCAATAAAGCATAATCTTCGTCATTGTTCGTTCTAAATTTTTCATGTCATTGACTCCGTAATAAATATATAATGATTACTTCTTATAAACTATTCTAGTAAGTTAATTTATTGCTTCACGACTAAATAGTTCATAAAACTTAAACAAAATTTTATAGGTTTGCACATATGTGTCTGAAGGGGTTCTTTAGAATAAAATTTGCAATATGCACACTACACTCAAATCCCACTAAAATAGTAATAAAAAACATGTGTTTATACTATTTATTTATGGCATAACACCTTTATCTTAATGGCATGCAAATTATTGCTTAAATTATTGCTGCTGTCCCCTACAGAAGTGTTAGCATCTTTGATTCCCTAACACATGAATTTAATGCAGTGGAAAATGGCAGTAAAAGTTGTTGGTTTATACATTTATCTTATTTGATGAGGGCGATTCTGTGTTCACAACTCATTTGAAGAGGCAGTTTTATTTAAAACAATGTTATGAAAGAAAAATTTATTTAAATTACATTTCGTTACTTAATTTCGAGGAATTGACATAAAACTTGAATTTATTTAGAGTCCATTTTTAAAAATTTATGTAAATGCTCTTAATTGAACTAAAACTAGAATACCAACTGTTATATAGGAAATATATCCCCCTTTTTAAGTGTGAATGTTTATGCATTGTTTTAACACAGAGTTTATTATTTTCATTATAAGCTACGCATGCAATTTTAATATTGCAATTTTTCTAAAAGTAACTCAATTGTAAGATATTTTGAAATGAAGTTCTTAGATTTTTTAAAATCATAAATGCTAACTTGCTCATCAGTGAACGCTTTTTCTCATTATTTAGAAAAGTTGAAAAATATTGCTCCCATTACATATTTCTGAATTGATGCTATTGTCTTAATTATAACAAAATTTGTAGATTCAAGTAAAATAATAGTTTCATTTAAAATATATATACGTATATATATCTCATCCCACAAATAATTTTCATTATTTGAAGAAAAAAAAATTAATTTTAATGAATTTAACAGCATGATTATATTAACTTATTCGAATAAGTTATTCTATTTTCTATAGTTATTCTGTAGAAAAAGTTATTATATATTGTTGTCTTGATAAGTTTGCAATCTTAATAAATACCAAATGCAACTATTTGGAAGTTATTAACATTATGTTTTTTATAGTATTGTAACGAAAGTGAGTAATGCATTCAATTATAAATTTTAGGAAATTTTCGAAGCGCACTTGATTTAGATCTAGTGTGTCGCTACAGGAAGGAAAAAAAGAGAAAGAAAGATCTATTGACCCGAAGTGCAGTGCTCGCATAAATTCTAGTATAGGAAAAAATAGCATTCTTCGAAAAATTAAATTCCTAATTTATTTTAATTAATTGTTTAAAATAATCGATGA